TCTCAGATTATCATCAGGCTTCAAATAAGCTGCTGGGGAGATGCAGGAATCTCTGAAAGCCTGCCCCATGCTCATCTGTAGGGCTTGAGCTACCCAGATCCACAGGTGGCTTCAGAAAGGCAGCAATGAAGTGAGGAGGTATCTCAAAGCCTGTGCAAAATAAAGCATGTGTTAAACAGAGTCGCAACCTTCCTGAGCAACAGCAGGCTGCGGAGAAGCCAGCCGGGAGTTGCCAGGGTATGGGGGAACTGGCTGAGAGCTGGGAGGTTCCAATGATGGGTTCCTTGCCATGTAGGCAGCAGGAGGTGCTATCTGAAACTCTGGTTCTAGCCTGGTGCTCAACTGGGAGATTCTTGACTATCCAGATGAGCAGCAGGCTTCACGGGGGCTGGGTGAACAAGGAGTTATGGGGGAAATCTGACCCAGGCCTGAAGCTCTGCCTGGAGACCCCCCAATTCCTACCAGAAGTGTCTTTGAGGTGCCCAAGTTCTACTCCATGTTCAGAAAGTATTCTTTGGAGCAGAAAGATCTCCAAGCTTTGCTGCACCACAAGCACTGAAGCCCTGGAATCTCTCTCAAGTGAGTTGCTATTGATGAGTGGGCTGAGCTGGTTAGGGCAGGAGGCTTGTCAAAGCTCCTAGTTGCAGGGAAAGTTTCAGGAGACCCACTGAAAGACCAGTTTCTGGGTTCTGTGCCCAGCCCCGGGACGGTAGAGTAATCGAGAGGTTTAGCTAAGCAGGAAAATGCAATTTGGTATACCTGAGAAAGGCAGCCCCAAGGAACTGCACACTCCTGGGAGATGGGAAAGGACCATAACAGTTTAAACCTAACATGATTCTTAGTGGTTGCAAGCTGAAGTGAGAGCAAGCTAGGTTTGATCCTCAGGATAGGAAAGATGTGTATTGAACACCAGAACTTTTGAATTCTCTCCTAGGGAGGTAAGACTTCTAGGGTTACTGTGTGAGAAGCAGACATAACCAGGACTAGACCAAGAGGGGCTTGTCCCTAGCTTTGGAAGGGTAGTGGGTTTTAGGACAGGCATAGGCAAACTCGGCCCTCCAGATGTTTTAGGACTTCCACTCCCATCATCCCTAGCTAACAGGGCCAGTGGTTAGGGATGATGGACGTTGTAGTCCCAAAACATCTGGAAGGCAGAGTTTGCCTATGCCTGTTTTAGGACAAAGGCATTTCAGAAAGCTGGAACTGACAGGATAGGTTAGGGAGCTAGGAGCCATAGCTCCTAGAGTCTGTCTAGGGTTGCTAGCTGGCAGGCGTGGGGTGGGACAACCTCGCTGTGCCTTCAAAAGCAGCTTGAAAAGCTATGCCTGCTGAACTTCTACCTGCTTCGGAGATACTAAAGGCACAGGGAACATGGCAGGAGGAAAGTTCTCCTATGCTGTAGTTGGCTGGATTTTATGTATTGTAGGGTTGCCTTTTTTGATTTCATCATTTTACTGATTTGTTGCATGGTTGATTTTAATTTTGTCTATTTGATTTACGTACACTGCCTGGAATATGCTCTTTTTATTATAAACAACTTAGAAGCTAAATAGTTGAACCTCTGCTTTATCGGATAGAAGAAAGTAGCAGGCCAGTGCATCGTCATTTATGGAGTAGGTTAGGCCCACAAACCACCATCTTTCACATTTAGAGCTCAAAAACCGTTGCAACTGACTATACGAACTGACTTGGCTTCATATTATGGCTGGATTTTATCTGTTGTGGATTTATGTCTTTTTGATGTAATCATTTTATTGAGTTGTTGCATGGTTGGTTTTAATTTTGTATATTTTATAACATATGCTACTGGGAGAATTATTATTTTTTAAAGTTACTCATAAGCTGAATAGTTGAACATCCACTTTTATCAGTAGGGGGAAAGTACCAGGTCAATGTTTTGTCATTTGTGGAGTAGGTTGGGCCCATAAACCACCAGCTGCTGATACCCCGTAAACTAGATAATCTTACACATTTATAACTCCAAACAAGTTGCAATTGGCTGTACAAACTGATTCGGCTGCACCTTCATATTATTACTGCCAGTTAATGAAGTTCAAAATCTCAGTTTGCTTGCCTCTCCATTTTTGTTTCTTCTGTTGACCAGCACTATTTTATTGTCCTCTTACCCACTTTCAGTCAAATTTGTATGTGAGACGGCACTAAGCAGGATGCAGGACACCTGCAACCTGCAGCTGGTGCTGAACAAAGAGGAAGTGAGAGAACTCGCACAACTAAAAGGAGGCTTGGAATTTTGAGATGTGGGCAATGCCAGCAAAAAAGGCCACCCGAGAGAGTTAGAAACATGCGCTGACTCAAGACATAAGTCTATCAATGTTCAAGGAAGCAATGTTCAAGGAAGCTATGACACATTCACACCATACATTTAAAGCACTTTCGTCCCACTGTTTCATGGCTTCCCCTAAAGAAGCCTGGGCACTGTAGTTTGTTAAGGGTGCTGGGAACCGTTAGGAGACACACACACCCCGCACAGAGCTACACTTCCCAGCATTCTTTGGGGGAAGCCATGACTTTTAAGGTGATGTAAGAGCACTTTAAGTGGATGGTGTGGGTGTGACTGTGTTCCGAGGCAAGCGCATTCAGGACTGCAGCTGCAGATCTTGAGCCAGAATTCAAATCTTGATTGCTTCATCCCACTGGTTTCGGAAAGGGGCTCAAATCTAATGACTTGGTCTCAGATGAGTGGCGAGTCAGCCATCAAAGTGGCTATTACCTTTTCTCCTTCATCTTACTCCGAACCAAGATAACTCAGTAGCTAAAGGCTTTCTCACTGTGGCAGGAAAAGCTTGCCCACTTAACTTTCTGGGGGACACCCGAGCTCAGCCCAAAAGCAGGGAAGGAGCTGCCAACCTCAAGCATAAATGTATCTGGTCTAGACACTTGCGATTTGCAATCTGTTGAGCAACTGGAAGCTTTTGTCATGGGGCAGGAGTCCAGAAGCACCCTCTTGGCCTAAGGCTCCACACCTCCTAACGGACACAAATACCTTGTTCTCTTAGAGGTAGTAAACCTAGGTCTCAGAGGTAACACGCAGCTAATACTCTTTCATAAAAACAAAACAAATTCCCACGTTGTTTTTTAAAAGCACTGTTCATTTTCCACTTGTGAGAACACTGGGGAGGTTAGGAACTTCTTGCCAAGGTGCCAAATGTGGCCCTCTGTCCAACTTTTAAAACCCTCCCCAGACCTTTCCTTTAGTGTTTTTCCCTGCTTGGAATATGTCAATGAATTGGGATAATGGCTCTTGCTTATCTGGGTGGGGGAAATAGAGAGGCATGTGTGTGCAGAATTCTGACTTTCCTACAACTAGGATGTGGAAAGGTAAGAATTGCATGTGTTTTCCTGTTCACCCTTGTTGCCTTTTTGCCTTTGGTCCTGCCCGTGAATGAAATGTGGCCCCTAGAAGCCTGGTTACAAGGGATGTGGCCCTTTGCTATAAATATTTCTTCCCTTTCCTTTGGGCATAGGCAGATGCGGATTTGCCACCACAGTGACAACTAGACCAAAACGACAGCCTTTCTCCTTACTGCTTTCCCCCCAAGCCCCACACCCCACACTCTCTCACACTCCTTTCCCTTTTGCATGAAAGGATCCCCCATCTAATGGCTGCAAGATTCTCTGTTGCCATATCTTTCTCTCTGTTTTGTCAACGTACCATGTAAAATAAGAAATTCGCCAGTATTGTCATACTGTACGTGATGAACTTGCAGCCCAAAAGCTGAGGCGGAATTCACTGAATAACAGTGCAAATGCAGCTTAAGGACAGACATCAGGCATTGGGCAATTTTTAGAGAAAACCAACCTGCCAGTGGGTGTTGGACAGGGCTGTGTCTATTCTGCTAATAATTCAGCATCCTAAGCTTTCACTGTTTTTAAAGCAGGTTTCTAAATCTCATAGCTGAGAAAATAAGCCTGAAAGTGAACAGATATTTCCTCCCCACCCCCTAACAAATAGCAGTGAGATCAATCATGGAACCTTCTTCATTCCAGGTGAGCTTAGCACTTGTCGACAATGGCAAAAATAAGAATGACCTCAGACGTGCCCAAGTGTCTTCAGGTTAATGCGCTACCTCAAATAGTGTTTACCAAACCCCTTACAGGGTTTGAGGTTCTTATTGTTAATGCTGGCTCTAAGAGGAAAGGATTTGTCTTGAGGATTAATAAGATCTTAATCGAAATTTGAGCAGGCGTCCTTGCATGGGTGAGAGGAGGCAGATATGAGTGAACAGAGGGATGAAGCATATATATCTATGGTGCTCTAGACCAGAAAAGTCAATGTCTCCCTGTATAAGGGAAAACATATAAAGATTAACCTACAGTACCACTGTCACCTATGGAAGATAACATAGCACCAACAGGTTGGTGTGAATGTGGTGCTAGAGGCACTTATTACCACTCACTGTGTTGTGATGAAGGCATAAATGAGGCGATGAGATCCTGCAACTCCCGCTCAGCTCATGGAATCATAGAATCATAGAGTTGGAATAGACCACAAGGGCCATCGAGTCCAACCCCCTGCCAAGCAGGAAACACCATCAGAGCACTCCTGACATATGGTTGTCAAGCCTCTGCTTAAAGACCTCCAAAGAAGGAGACTCCACCACACTCCTTGGCAGCAAATTCCACTGTCAAACAGCTCTTACTGTCAGGAAGTTCTTCCTAATGTTTAGGTGGAATCTTCTTTCTTGTAGTTTGGATCCATTGCTCCGTGTCCGCTTCTCTGGAGCAGCAGAAAACAACCTTTCTCCCTCCTCTATATGACATCCTTTTATATATTTGAACATGGCCATCATATCACCCCTTAACCTCCTCTTCTCCAGGCTAAACATGCCCAGCTCCCTTAGGGTTCATAGAATAGCAGAATTGGAAGGGACCCCCAAGCAGCATCTATTCAAACTTCTGCATTGCAGGAACACAAAAACATCCACATTTGCTGGACAGCATAACCCTCAACATGCATTTCTGTCTTTTTTTTATTGCAGCGAGCACCACAGCCCCGACGGTCTTCCCATTGCCTCCCTGTAGCCAAGACTCCTCTACCACCTCCCAGGTCTCCATAGGTTGTCTGGTCTCTGGCTACTTTCCTGAACCGGTCATAGTACGGTGGAATTCAGGAGCCATCTCCAGCGGCATCCGGACTTTCCCTGCAAAATTGGATTCATCCAGGGGCCTCTACACCCTCACCAGCCAGCTCACCATCCCAACCAGCACCTGGGAATCGGAGAAGTTCCAATGCAATGTCGCCCATGCAGCTTCCAGCTCCACAATCAGCAAAGACATTGAACGTGAGTCTGGCTGGGCCTTCATTATCTGTTTCCTCTTTAACCTACAAATGGATGGTCAATCTGGCAAAAGAAAGAAAAGTAAAACACAAGGGTTGGGAGAGACGGGAAATGGATTCAATATCTTTGGGTAGTGTTTTTGTCTAGTACCAAGGCATGTTAAGCGCAGCAGCAGCTCAACGTTGGCTCACAAACGAAATGTGGGAGACAACTTCGGAGTTGTCTGTTCAGCACTAAAAGCGATGTTAGGGTTGTGCCATTTAAGATTTCAGTCTTCGGGGGCTAGGTACAGCAACATCCAGCGGCATTTTTTAAAATTTACACTTTAGTTTTAAATTGTTAAATTTGTGGTGATTTATTTTTAAAGTTTATTTATTGCTGCTTTATTCTCAGAGCAATGTTACCAGCATGTGTACCACACACAGTGTGTGCTGATAATAGTATTCATGACCTGCTCCTTTAAACTGCTTGTATTCACTTGCGCAACCAATAGTAGGGAAGTATCTTGGTGAGGCTGTTCAAAACTTTGGGATTAGTAGGAGAGACATCTGGCGAACGGCAGATGAATTAGTGGCCGCTCACTCTCCAGTCTTCTATCGAAGTGGGTCCCTCAAGGCTTACATTGACTAGGAGACAGGTCCCAGACTAGAAATCACTAAGATCACAGAGAAGTGGTATTAATGCCCCTCACATATGGATGGGTTGAGAAGATCAATTTGGTTCATATTTAAAGACGAATATACATAATTCGCAGTACTTGAACCAAAACATGTCCTTCATTTCCAACTTACACTTCTTTAAATTGTGCAAAGCTGTTCATCAGCCAAGTAATGTGCACAAAGAATACATATCATGTGTGAGTGAATAATATATAAGAATGTGTTACATTAGGAGCACTGTTTTACAGGAATGTTTATATTAGGCAAAATATCACTCAGAGGTGTGTATATTAGGAGAAGTTTGAATTAAAATGCAGATGACTTTTCATGAGGACTGGTTTGCTGATTGGTGTGAAAAAAAAACTTGAAAAATAAGCAACTGAGAGGAACCATAACTGACAGATTCACCCATCTCTGCCTTTCTATAATGTAGGAACATCTGCAAAATCACCAGTGGCCCCGGAAGTCCGCCTGCTCCATTCCTCCTGCGATTCCAAATCCAGTAGTGCCACCATTGAGCTGTTCTGCATTATCTCCAGCTTCTACCCCAAAATGTTGACGGTGGAATGGCTGGTGGGTGGGCAAGCCGGGCTCCTGCCTTCATTCACTGAGCAGCCCAAGAAGGATGCCCACGGATACACTTTCAGTACCACAAGCACAGCCAATGTCAGCCAAGCTGACTGGCAGGCTGGGAATGTCTACTACTGCCAGGTGTTCCACGAAGCAACACAAACGAAGGTGAATAGCAAAGCCAAGATATGTGAAGGTAAGAGCAGCTGACTAAGTTGGCACTTGAGTTTCCCTCTGTTTTGGTGGGCATGGACTGGAACGTGAGGGGGAGGGCTGCTTCCAGATTGCAGCTTCCTCCCACTTCATTTATACATATATAGATATAGCTGCTTTCAATTATGTCCCATTGAATTAAGCCTTGAACACATGACCTTACTAGTAGAGTAGTTGTTTTCCATTTCTGCTGGAAGCAGGACTCAGGGAAGACATAGGGGAGTGGACATCAGAGTGCCCCAGATGTCCATGAAAAGTCTTGGCAAATATGCTATCCTCTTCAGGGTCAGAGGATGTTTTCCATGCTCTACAACATGTAGTTTGAGTCAATGGTGTAAGCCACCTCCTGGATAGAACAATGTAGTCTTGATAGCAGAAGCTGATATTGTAGAAAGGGGTGACAGGGAACTGTTTGTTCCTGCTCATTGTTCACAATGGAATATGGAGCTTTTTAAATTTTAGGACAACCAAGGGCAACAAACACCAGCTTCATTCTTTTAATATTTGTACCAAGTCTGGAGTTTTTGCTCCCTTTTACTCTGGAGCAAGGAATGCCCTTGTTAACAGATTATTATTATTATTATTATTATTATTATTATTATTATTAATTTATATTTGTACCCCGCCCATCTGACTGGGTTACCCCAGCCACTCTGGGCTGCTTCCAACAAATTGAAAAGCATAATAAAACATCAAACATTAAGAACTTCCCTATACAAGGCTGCCTTCAGACGTATTCCAAAAGTTGTATAGTTATTTATCTCCTTGACATCTGATGGGAAGAAGTGAGAGTCAAATAGAGAACTAACATGAAGTTTGTGCCTCCAGATGCTACCGCCTGCCCTTCCACTGGCATTGACGTAAGAATCATACTCCCAACTCCAAAAGACCTGTATGTAAACAGCGACCCCAAACTCATCTGCGTGGTGGAAAACTTGATAGATACAGATGGGCTGATAATCACCTGGTCACGGCAGACACCAGGACCTGTGAGCCAAGAACTACTGGAAACAAAAGAAGAGCCTAATGGAAAGTTCACCGCTACGAAGGCCCTCTCTGCCACAACGTGGCTACAGGGAGATGAATTCACCTGCAAAGTGGAATATCCAGGCCTGGCTGCTCCCATCATCAGGACCATTGCCAAGACGGCAGGTAAGTGGGAAACAGGGTTGGTCTCCCATCCCAGGGCTGGTGGTTTTGTGTTACAGAAGGAAAATGCAACACAACTTGGCAAATCTGCAGTTTACGCTAAGTTACAATTTCAAGCAGTCTGGTGGAGGTCTTGTGCAGGTTTACACAATCATTCTACTACCCTTGTCTCTGCTCAAAGGTTTTACGGTGCTAGAAAAACCTGCAATGCATTTTTTAAAAAAAATCAGAAGGCAACACTGGAACCAAGGAAAGAAAGGCTTGTGTCCACTGCAGCGGCCAAGACATCTCCCATTACTCTTTTCACTCTCATGAAAACCATTTCATCTCTAGTTACAGATCCTTCAAACCCCTGAATCTGTCTATTGATAATGTTTACCCAACACTGGTTGAGCTAGATGAAGGATTGAGCCAGTTCTGATGAAGGCAGATCTTTATGTCCTTGCCCTGGTGTCCCACTCCACAAATTTAACGAGCCACCAGGGTAACTGCTTCGGGAGCAACTGTGCAGAGCTTGCTCCTTGAAGTTTGCAAGATTTTCACCTTTCAACCCCAAGCCATGCTGCAACTTGAACATACCAGTACCTTCTCGGGAAAGACTGGGATTCTGCGTGGGCTGGGTGACTTCTGTATATCTGTTGAGAAACTGGGCTGTATAAATATACCTCATATCTCTGCTGTCCCAGTTTGTGCTCCTATTCATTCATCCAGCTCAAAGAAGCCCAACACATGCTATAGATCTTCACATAGATCTACACACTGATGGTGACTTCAGCTGAAGGCACTTCAACTCATTGGCAATTGAGTATTTACCCCACTGTGTCTACTGTACAGACATAAACTGCTCTTCAAAGAATCTAACAGATAATATTTAGAGTCAAATGACATTAAAAGCCAGGTGGAGCAACTATTGGGAACATACTGCTGTTATGAAGTGCATATGAACAGGCCAGAGGTGAGACACGCTCTCTGCAATAACCCTGTCTGGAGTACCTATGTTCAAGAGAACAAAATCACAGGGACTCTCATTGTCAACACTGCATCCACTCATTTGGTCTAAACTTAACTACTGTTGCCTCTCCTTTTCTCTCACATATATTGTCCCTGATCTCAAAAAGGAACGGTCCATGCTCCTGAGGTGTACCTTTTCCGACCCCACCCTGAGGAAATCCGTACTCGGCCACCTATGGTGACCCTCACCTGCCTGATCACTGGGTTCACCCCAGAGGCAATTTCTGTCCAGTGGCTGAAGAATCACAACGCTATACCTGACGATCACCATGTCAACACCCCAGTCATGAAGAACAACAACAACCATTCCTACTTCATGTACAGCCACATGAAAATCGCATTAACTGACTGGAACAATGGAAATGCGTTCACCTGCATGGTTATCCACGAAGCCCTCCCCATGAAGTTCACCCAGAGGACCGTGGAGAAATCCCAGGGTAAAAAATGATGACCATCCCTCCTACGGCATTGCAACCTCTTCAGCCTCTCCCAGATTTTCCTCTAGCATTGTTAGATAAACCCTGTGTAAATAATTTCCATGCATGCATGTTTGGCCTATGGCTGAATAAAAAGAGAACCAACTCAGATATATCCCATGTTGTGGTCATTTGCAGGAAAATCGATGACTAGAGTGAGTTTTGGAAAGCGGGGGTGGGTGGGTGGATTAATTAAGTGGGTATTCATGGTATTTGGAAGCAAAATGTATTCACCATTATCAGAGCTATGCCATGGGAGGCAGGGGTGCAAACGTCTGGTGTCAGTATATATGTATTTTAATGCTCACAACAGGCCTTTGATAAGTGCCGGAAGTGAGAGGGATTTGGTCTAAAGACACCCAGTGAGCTTCATCTAGTTGGGTGGTGATTTGAATCTGGGTCACATTCCACCAGGCTCAAGTCCAATATCCCATCATCTGCTCCACCCTGGCTTCCATCTATACATGTCCATACACAGGAAGCTGCTCTCCTTTTAACGTCTGGTGCTGAAAACAACAAATAAGCTGCTAATTCGCTACTGAGGAATATTTCTGTACCAGTCTCTGCCTCCTTCAGCCACCAGGCCTCAATTCCTCAGGGGTTCAAACCAACTGATCATAGCAGAACTGCAGTGTTCCCTGCATTCCAACAACATAATTATAGCTCAGTGCTCTTTATATTTTTTAATCTGCCACGCCCCCAAAAAATCAAAGCCCAAAGTTCATCCAATAAGTTTGCCATTTTAGGCACCCATATATATATAGAAAGGAGTCCTGCCCATATCAGAATATTTTGCATTGCCTCTCCTTCCTCTGCCTGCCCCAAATATTGATATATGGTACATGACGTAAGAAGCTGGCTCATTGGTTTGCCTACTCAGAGTAGGCCCACTGAAATTAATTGATATGTGCAATTTAGGTTCATTCATTTCAATAGGTCTACGCTGAGTATGGCTAGCATTGGCTGCAAGCTATGCAGCGTTCTCTGACGCAGAGCTGGAACCTTGTTCCAATAAGAGGTGCAGAGCTATCTGTATGGAGGTGCAATACAGAGGCCAATGTCATCCTGTGGAAAGTTAGTTCAATGGGGCACAGCAGCATGAGCAGCATGGACAGAAAGTAGGCAGAATTCATCTGGTGCAACATATGTGCACACTCCCCGCTTCAACACATGTAGCTTCCCTTCATATCAACTCACCTGGCCTGGATAACTGTGCATTTCAGTGACAGGGCAGAAGAAACGAGAGAATGCAAAACACCTGCATTGCTTGAAAGCAAGGAATAGTTTCTGAGGGCCAGCTATAATGTGATGCCATGGGGGGAGGGCATTTGGGGGGGCAACCCACAGTTTGCTGGGGCTGCTTTTCGGGTCACCGTACAAGGCAGCAGAATGCGTGTAAACCCCTTACGCCCTCTTCCAGGTCAAAACACAGCGAGTGTTTGCACAGCCGTATGTGCCTTGAATGTGCACAAAATGGTTGTTGCCTATATAGGGAAAGGTTTTCTCCCTTACTGCTCCCCATGGTTACAATAGAAGCACCATAGGGAAAGGTTATTTTAATCCAGAACCACATAAAAAAATAACCTCCCCTTGCACCAGGATCCTGACAAAAAATGGCTTTCAAAGTGACTATTAACTGTTAAAAAGAATCAGAAGAAATTTCATGTGATACCTTTAGCATCACATCAGTAAGACATTGGTGCAGGGGAGGATAATAATAAACCTAGTTTGACCCTGAATTTGAGATGGGTGAGCAAACTGAGCCAAGCCTGGATAGATGAGTGCACAAGTCAGATGGAGCCATGAGAAAGAATCAAATTCACAAAATATTCAGGCCATATTAATGGATTGTTCATATATTATTGGGTGGGTTATGAGAAATAAAAGGTCCAATCAAGACACATATGTACACAATGCAAAAAGGCAGCGCAAGGATATGTTTCCAGAAATGATAGTCGGGGATCCCCTCAGAACCATCCCATCAAATACGAAAGAGCAAAATCTCTGACATTTTACAAAATCGGAGAAGGGAGAAAAGGGGACTTTCAAGTACACTTTTCCCCAGTCACCTCTCCTTTTGGAAACCAAACACAACATCTCCACTAAGTCACTCTTGCCCTAGTTATGCTGCAAGGGTGCGGCCTCAGCAATCCCACACAAACTCCCTACCCACACCTGCTCCCTGGTTACTCCTTGAGTCAGTACTTAATGTACTGGTTAGTGTTTGTTTTGGTGCTTAGAACTCCAGATTCAAATCCCACCTCAACCATGAAGCTCACTGCGTGGCCTTTCTGGACATCCCTCAGAAAACAGGTTAATTTAAGACAGTGTTAAAACATCCCCACCTCCTCATTTATTCAGGATTATTCCATCCAGCCATCTTCTGTGACTCACTGAAACTGTCAAGACTAGGATGTATTTTGTCATGTGGTGAAACGGTTAAGCAACTGTTTTGAACACCTCTGAACATTGCTATTCCTCATTGATTTATTACCTGAAAAAATGGAAGGCAAATAGCATTCTGCAGATGAATTGAAACACATTGCACAACAGGTTCATCCTAAACAAACTGATGGAAATTAGATGAACTGGTACTTTAGGCAGAGTGTCGGAAAAGGGAGAAGGAGAGAGAGAGAGAGAGAGAGAGAGAGAGAGAGAGAGAGAGCTGTCCCAACAGAGTGAAGTTACTCTGTAGGACAAGGCACAAACATTACGTGGGGTGAACAGAGAGAGTTCCCAAAGAGCCAACACCAAGCCACTATTGCAAAATTTAGATAATATTAATTGTTATATAGGCCACAGGTGATCTTGCAGGTATACGGTTAGTGCATCATGGATTTTGTAGTCTATGTTAGACTGTACGAAATAGAAGGAATAATATTAGTAGTACATAGTTCGGCATAATTCTATGTGTACAATTAGATATTAGTGGTAGGTGAAGGGATTGCTGAGGTTAAGGGATATTTTATGTTGAACACTGGAAATGACGTCTCTCTCTCTCCCTCCCCTCACAGAGGTGGCTGTGTTAACAATGGATGATTACAGCGATGAGAAAGAGGAGGAAATGGATCGTCTCTGGGTCACCATCTTTGTTTTCTTCATTCTCTTCCTCCTCAGTGTTTCTTACAGTGCCACCATTACACTGTTCAAAGTGAGTAGAGAGGAAGGTCTGTTATATGTCTACATTTGAATCTTACGATGTGGAGTGACAGAGGCAGCAGAAACACCACAGGGATGGGGGGTGAAAAGCAAAGGATAAGGCTGAAATATTTGTACTCTTTATTGTAAATTAGTGAATGGTTCTGTGAAGGACTCGGCACATACCTTTACATATCCTTGATGCCAAATAGTCCATTAGATACCCCATTAAAATCAGATGACTGGGATGAAGGAAAATATTTGACTTGCTGATTTGCAAGAGAAGTTTAGGGATAGGAAGATGCTGGAGATGCAATGAGGTTGAGGGTACGTTCTTTCATATGTGGTGGACCTATAAAAGGTTAAAAGCGTATTGGGAAATCATCCACAATGAATTGAAAAAAATGTTTAGAAGTACCCCCCCCCAAAAAAAGAGTCCTTTTTGTTGGGAATAATTCAGACGGAAATTCCCAGGTGTCAGAAAAGGTTATTTATGTATGCCACCACTGCAGCCCATGTTTTGTTAGCCCCAAAATGGAAAACGAATGAGGTCCCAACTAAAGAAGAATGGCAACTTAAACTGATGGAATATACGCAGCTTGCGGACCTAACATATAGAATAAGAGAACAAGAAGAACATATGTTTAAAGATTCAATGTTTATTGAATGTATGGGGGGAATTTTGTACACTTGAAAAAGTTGGCAGCATTAAGATAAATTCAACAGTGTAAACAAATTTTGTTGGATATAATAATGGAATACTGAATGATTTAGTTTATGTAAAATATGCAGGGATTTATGATATGAAAAAAGAACCATGAAAAGAGAAGAAAGGAAGTCATTGGCATTTTAAGGTTGTTTAAATGAATATTCTAAAGTGTAAAACAGAAAATTTAATAAAAATTATATTTAAAAAAGGGATAGGAAGATGCAGAAAGATGGCAAGGAATGATGTTAGTATACAATGCCAAAAGAAAGTACTTCTTCACACAGCATAGTTAAGCTATTGAATTTGTTCCTACAAAATGGCCCCAGACTTTGATGGCTTTAGAAATGATCGCACAAATTCCTGGAGGAGGAAGACTATCAATGGCTACCAACCTCAATGGCTAGGTTACGCCTTCATTGCTCAAGACAGTGTTCCTCTCAGCACCAGTTGCCTTCAAATACTGCCTTTGGGCTTTCCACGACAGCATCTGGTTGGCCACTGTGGGAGCAGGAGGCCAGACTGCATGGACACTCTATGACCAGATCCAGCAGGGTTCCTTTATGTTCTTATACTTTCTTGTGAGCTGGTGGTTTATAGATAAATAAGTAAATATAAGTAATAAGTACAGGGTAAGTAATAATACATCATAGAACAACCTGTGGCTGGCAGGAAACAGGGAGGACAAAACCACAAATGACAAATAGAACATGCAGGTGTTTCTTCTTCCACACGCACTTCTGTTCTGTGTCTTCCTTTCTCCTCACTCTCATTCCTTCCTGCAGGTAAAATGGCTCTTCTCCACTGTGGTGGTCCTGAAAAAGCAGCCAGCAGGCCCTGACTATAAGAATGTGCACCAATGATTGGCCTAGAAGCATTTTCCTGGGAGCTCTTGTCCTACATGTTGAGCAGTGCAAAGGAGAAGTCACTGGCTGGAGATAGGACTCCGTTTCCAGCATTGACAACCAAAGCTATCTGCTATCTGCTTCTCTTCCCTGGTAGGGGGACAATGAAGCCCCATCAGATGAAGGACAGAGAGGCAATTTTGTTAGAACTTGGAGCTGGACTCGTCATATTATGTCATTTGCTGAGACGGCACTTCCAAGACAGGAAGCCTACTGGCCCTATGTGCATCTGTTTCCCACAGTGACTGTCAAGAAGAGCAACTAGTACTCCCAACCCAAGGTGTATTAGTACTCCCAAACCAAACGACTAGTACTCCCAACCCAAGAGCACAGGTCTTGATAAAGGATTTTGGCACATCTACTCAGCGTTAAGTCCTTCTGAGTTCAATGGGACATACATCTAAGTATACATATGACTGCAGCCTATGTATCCACTGGACTCTCCCCATTTCAGAGTTCAGATCTCCTCTCAACCCCATGTTTTTGTTCAGTTTCTGTTAATTGATTCTCATGGGAAACTTGCAGATTCTGGCTTCGCACAATTAACTCAAGGCAGTGTCAATTTACTCTTGGCAGAAAGCCCAGGTCTGCTTGACCTAGAAACTACTTACTCTGATTGGTTAACGACCAGCACTTAACTCTGTTATCTAGGGATTGCTAGCACAGTGTGATGTGAGGTGTGTTAGGAGTTGGAGTAGAAGTGCTGTGTATGGTTTTGAGAGAGAGAGAAAGAGAGGATTTATTTTGCTTTTATTTGTATGCAGAAACTCTGCTGGTTTTATTTTTCCTTTTTAATAAATCCTGTAAATAGTTATTCTGAGTCTAGCTGACTAGTCATTACCACCGCAACTAGCTTCCTCGCTGGGCAGGAAAACTCTGCTACGTTTGGGCTAAAGCCAATAGGGCTATGCCTGACACTTCAAAGTTCCATGAGTTTTGCCATATGCTGTGCCTGCTCATCCAACACGCCCTCATCGCTAGCAGGCATCCAGCCTCACCCAGCTATTGGAGATACTGACCTGTCCTTCTTTAGCCAAATCCACCTAAGCACTCTACATAAATGTCTTATTCTGAATATTGTCCTTCTCTATACTGAATATTTTGATCAATCAGTTTAAGACCCACCCAATACCAACAATTTCTTCTTCCTCAGCCCCATGACTGGCACTGAGGACATTTCTGCTCTTTTATATATTACATGTTTGTGGTCACAACTAGTGGTTTTTTTTCTGGGGGGAACACAGCGGGACGCATACCCCTAAATGTTTTGTTTTGCCCCGACCGACGGATGGACTGACATGCCAGCTGTCTCTGTAGTAGCAGTGCAGACTGGAGCTCCATCATTCTCCCTTACGGTGCCTGGGAAAGGGAATCTGGGGCGGCCGCGGTGGAGGTGACAGCACTGCTGCTCCTCCTCTTGCTGGGCTAGACCCAACCGGTGAGCACTCGCCCCTCCTCACTCAAGCCAACCCTGCCACTGCCGCTGCCAGGGGCCTTCCTGTCCTCTCACCGCCGCTGCTATTTTCTAGCTATTTTTAGCTAGTTTCTGCTATTTTCATATACAGTGGTACCTCGGGTTAAGAACTTAATTCGTTCTGGAGGTCTGTTCTTAACCTGAAACTGTTCTTAACCTGAAGCAGCACTTTAGCTAATGGGGCCTCCTGCTGCTGCTGTGCCGCCGCTGCATGATTTATGTTCTCATCCTGAAGCAAAGTTCTTAACCCGAGGTAATATTTCTGGGTTAGCGGAGTCTGTAATCTGAAGCGTATGTAACCTGAAGCGTATGTAACCCGAGGTACCACTGTATTGCATGTTTTGCGGTCATAACTATCTTTACCAGACAATAATAATAATAAAATAAATAAATAAATAAAGTCTTCTGAAGGTTTTTGTTTCGTTTTTGCTCCTCCTTCACATTCTTTCAGGAAGGAGTTTCATCCTCTTTGGAAAATTCCACCTGTTATCCTTCATTCCCATAAAAATCAGTGGTTTGGGAACCTGCAGACTTGCAGATGTTGTTGGACTCCAACTCATAAAAGTCGCAGCCAGCATAACAAATAGTCAGGGATGATGGGTCTTGTAGTCCAACAAACTCTGGAGGGCCAGGCCACAGTTTCCTCACCCTTTACTTGCATGCCAAGACCCCATGACCCTGCAGTTCTCCAGGGAGTAAATTACCAAATAAGACAACAGGATATAGTTTATGGTTTCATATAAGCCACAACTTTTATTGGTTACAGATGTGAACAGTTTGGCAGAGGCATTTGGTGAAACCAGTTTATTTCACTTCAGCCCGTCTGCTGGGAATGCATCTAAGGGTAAACCACCTCGGGGGGGATATGACCTACATCAAATAGGGGTACCTCCCGAGGGGTCACTGTTGGAAGGGGTGCTACGGCTGCTGTCCCCTCCTGGGCATTGGACAGAATCTACTCCTCCTAGATCAGAACACTTCTTTTTGCTCCAGAGCTCTCTCGGTGAAAACCCGTTCTTTAAAGCTCATTTGGAGCAAGCAGTACTCCACAGCAACCCAAATGGACTTTTTTTCCAAATGAGCACTAAAGAGTGGGTTTTGTGGGGAAACCTCTGGGGTGAAAACAAAACAAAAAATAAAAACATGGAGCTTTTAAGCGTCTATCTATGCTTGGAAGGAGTGGGCAAAGGTAACTGTGGATGAACCCCGAGATGTGCCATAGCTGTTACGTCTTTGCCCGCTGCTTCTGCCACCTCTGCCCAAGGTGGTCATCCAGCAAGGGACCAGCCAGACTCCAATGGCTCCTCCTCTGTCAGAGCCCAGTGCTCTGAGGCATGAACTTCTCATTCACCTGCTTGTAGTACAAGTGAGGAGAGCAATGCTGCTTTCTATGTCAATCATATGTCAATCACCCCCAATCATGGGGTGTTCCCTCTCAGGAATATACTGCATTTACTAAGAGACAAATGACTCCTTCATAGTAAACATAGCAGGGGGAGGTCATAAAATCATAGAATTGTAGAGTTGAGATGGATCTCAAGGGTCATCTAGTCCAAACCCCACAATGCAGGAATCTCAGCTAAAGCATCCATGACAGATTGCCATCCAACCTCTGCTTGAAAACCTCCAAGGAAGGAGAGTCCACAACCTCACAAGGGAGACCGTTCCACTGTCAGACAGCTCTTACTAGAAAGAACCTTCATAGAAAGCCCAGAAGGGAAAGAACGGGCACCATTTAGGAGGCGTAAAAAGGGATCTCACAAATGTTCAAGTTCCTATGAGGTCCTGTTCCTGCCCCCTTCTCCAGCAGATGTTCTCCTAATATCATGGAGCCAGCTCAGAAATGTGCGGAGAGGGAAGATGGTGCTGCTGAAACTTAGCCTTCAAAGAATGGAAGATGCACTCTGACTCTGGTCAGAGAAAGGGTGACCTTTCTGAGGGAGAAGTGGGGGTGGTTCAACTTTAACCAAGGTTGTTCTTCTGAGGGTTTATTTTAGCCCTTCTAGCAAAAGCACAGAGTGTGTTAATAGCTTACTGTGGATGAAGTTCCTCTTCTCTGGTTGCTGCAGAGTGCTGCAATTCACTGTATAACCCCAAATACAGAAGAGGTGTCTGATACTTGTGTAGCTACAGTATATCAGTTTGTGAAAGAAAATAAATACTCGTAGTAGTTTCCTGGCAATGCACAAGAACAATAAATATTCTGTTGATTTCTTAACCTCATTTCATTTGACCTCCAGTCTGCAGCCTCTTCCTCTCCTACATAGTTCACTCTCTGCATTTTCAGACCCTTCAGGTGTCCCTATTTTCCAGGGACAGTCCTGGATTTACAGAAGACGTCCCCGTTTCTGATTTGATCCTAGAATGTCCTGCTTTTCCTTAGGATGTCCCTGTGCTCCATCTGAGAAATGTTGGAGGGTATGCATTTGGTGTGTCAGATTGTGGTTTCCTGAACAATCACTGTGTCCCCTCTATGTGGAGGTCCTTCCTCCCTCAGAGACTTAAGGTTCCTTAAGTCCTTAAGATGTGAGACACCTGGTAAAGACGCTAACAAGTTGCAGGATGTTTCCATAAGAAAGTTAGATGCTTCTCCTCAGAACACCCGGGATGTGAGCAAACTGGGGCAGAGATATGGGAGCAGTCTTCCAGCTGAGGGGTTTTTTCCTGCCTTTTTCCTTCCCCCACCCCCATGGAGGTGCCAGGATTGCAGGATCTAAATGCTTCTCTCTCTCTGCCCCCTCAAGGCTCGGAGGGTCAGGGAAGCACTACCAAGAAGGCAAGAGCCTCTGGAAAGTCACAGACAAATAAGTGTATTATCAGCAATTCTCTCAGGAGTTTTTTCCATGAGGATTTGAAAGGCTCTAACGCCACCCCCACTCCCACATATTTCTCCTTCTAGGGGTAACTTATATATTTCATAAAATTCATATGGGCTTGGTTGTAAGAAAAAAATAACTCAAAGGAGGCTTTTACCATTGCAGTTTTAAATAAATAGATGAGATAGATAGCGAGATAGATAGCGAGATAGAGATAGAGATAGAGATAGAGATAGAGATAGAGAGAGAGAGAGAGAGAGAGAGAGAGAGCTTTTTCCTTTAAAAAATGTTTAGGGGTACTCTCATTTTGACTCAAGAAAATCACCATTTCATCGTTGAAATTGGGAAAAATAAATACAGTAAATGGACAAAGGTACAAAGATTCACAAAATGTTTAGGGGTATGTGTACCCCTGAGTCCCCCTAGAAAAAAACACTAGAGAGAGAGAGAGAGAGAGAGAGAGAGAGAGAGAGAGAGAGATTACCTTATGAGGAGTTTTAGGGCTTTCCCTATAGGATGGCTTGGAATTACCCTACTGCCTGAAACCTGAAACTACAGGGTGGGTTTGTCCTTTTTTCTGGTTTCATCAGGCTTCTCAAAGTATAATTTCTTCTCCTTTCTCCCAGTTTTCAATTCGTTGGCTTAAGGAATCCCTGTAATACTCCCAGTGGAGTTTAGTTTTCTGTGCACAATATGTGTAATTTGGCTACGGCTTGCACATGCAACCGCAGATGCCAGTCTGTTTTTTTCAATCCCTGGTATCCTGAGAAAGGGCTGAGAGAGACCCCTGCCAGTCAGACCCTGGAGCGCCACTGCCAGTCAGTGTGGGCATTATTGGGCTAAATAAGGCAGCATCCTACATTCCCTCTGCTGATGGGAGTTTTATGTGTCATTTTGCTATTACGTTTATAAATGGTGATGATGATTTATAAAATAGGTGTGGTGGCCTGGGAATCCGATTCAGAGGCTGAACCGGAGGAATCCCAGCCTGCACAGGAGTCCCCGCCTCCAGGGGCGGCTGAACTGGGGCAGGGCCTTGATTCTGAAGCGCCTGCACCTGTGCCGGATCCTCAGGAGCAGGCACCAGGTGAATCCACTCTGGCTCCGGAGGTGGTTGAGGACACAGTGCCTACAGGTGCGCCTCTCCCAGCCCTGTCAGGGGAAGGTGAGTCTCCCCCTGGGTCCAGTAACCCTCCAGCCTCTCCTGAGCTGCAGAG